ACTTTAAGGATTGTTTTGCCTTGGACTCTGATTTAATTCTACATGATACTTGGAATGCTGACACTACATAGATCTGAAAAACTGCAATTTTGAATTTGGACAGAAATTCAAGACCATAAGCATTTCACTGGACTCTCTCTGAGATTGGAAACACCCAATTCCTGAATAGGAGTTTGGTTTAACCCAGTGATCGACACATCAGGTCCTGAATGCAAGCCTTTTTAATTTTAAAAACTAAATTGAATTTTTAAACAATGAAGGCAAATCCTGACTCGGCCTTTTCCAAAATAGGATGCCAGGTTTGATGGGACATGACTTCACTGGAACCTTTCATCGCTGCACAGGGAGCCCTTGACTTACAACAATTTGTTTTAGTGACTTGTTCCAAGTTACAACAGCACCAAAAAGTGACATACAATTGATGGGTTCTCATATTTAGAACATCCATAACATCCCTATGGTCATGTAATCAACATTTGGGCACTTGGCAACCAACATGTATTGATGACTGTGGCAGCATTCTGGGGTGATCGCCATTTGCATTTCACAGCTGGCTTCCGACAAAGCAAAGTCAATGGGGAAACTGTGTATGCTTAACAAGTGCAGTGATTCACTTAACTATAGCACGAAAGGTCACAGAACTGGGGACGACTCACTTGTTTAACAATGGAAAGACTGGTCCCAATTATGGTTGTAAGCCAAGGCCTGCCTGCCTGCATATTATATAACTCCATGCACTTAGTAATAAAGAGAGCCCATCTCCCTTTCTCAAGCTCAGATTCATGTAGTGAGACAATCTAGAATGATCTATTTATTTTGTGTCTCCAAAGAGTTACAGATGTTACCCAGCATGCCTTTATAGTATGCACTTTCCTCCATTAATTACAAAGAAATGTTTTTTTTAATGCTGTCTGATTTGAGTTAAAAGCAAAATAATTAATATATACACTCTGAAAGCAATATGTGTCTTTTAGTTCATAGAAACTCCCTCCCTCTAGACCTCCCCTGCTATTCAGGGAAATTGAGCAGGCATAACAGTATTTCATAATTAATGCACAAAAACACACACACAAGGCTACCTCCAACCCATGCGGGGAGATCTTCAGATATTCACTGACATCATTGCTGTTCAGCATGGCCCTAATGTTGGTCAGGTCGACTTTCTCGTATGTAAACTGTCTCCCTTCTTTCAAAACTGCAGGAAACAAGAGAAAAGGTTTTAAGGGTTATCCCAGCAATGTAGAAATGGTAAGCTAGAAAACAGAATTCGGCTGCCCAAATCCAGTTAAAGAATGAATCAAACACTTTCTGAATAAGCAACTATCCCTTTAAATGACAGGCATTCAAAAACTGAATTCTTTAGAATTTGGGCTTAAGGGGAATGAGCCCACATGCTAAATGCTTCCTGCTTGCCTTCTGCCAGCAAAAGCAATTAAGCATAACTGCTCCATCTGTGGTTTGCTTAGCATTATGTGCAACTGGGAATCCCTAGCTGATTTTTCTTCTAACAAATTGGAGTCATTAGCTTGCCTTACAATTTTAGCATGTCAAAAGAAGACCAAACCAGGGACTATGATTTCTCTAACCAAGATGAGAGAGGATCCAAGAAGCCTGCAAAGAGCAGATACTAATATACAATATTCCCCAAAATGCAGTTATATATTGAATTTAAGAGTGATGACTCTTAAATAAATATTGGCTAGGGATACTGTAGCTGGTATTTCTCCAGAAAGCTTCTTTCTCTGATTAAACTAGAGAATATAACAAAGCCAGTGAATCTGTGCTTCTATACGCATTCTATTAATACTAGGTACATTTAGGTGCTGGCAAGAGATTATTTTCAATTTACCAATTAAGAAATTCAATTTCAATGGCTTTTCATTAATGAAGGACTTCATCTTCTGAAAATTGATATGGTATTTGTTTCAGAAATGAATTAGATTATCTAATACCATCTGCATTCAAAACAGGACAACTAACACTGGTGTCATTTTGTATCCTTTCTCTTCCTGAGATGGGTTTCAAACCATCTTAATCTACAAAAGCCTAGAGAACCCAATTTACAGACTAAATGAACAGTTTAGAATCTCCAACTAAAACCTCAAGTCAGAAAACCCAACTATTTACCATTTAAAATAGACAGGTTCATGGCTATGTTTCATTAAGACACTTGATTAACAGTGTAAATTGTATCTGCCACTTTCCTCGGAATTAACAACAGTGGAGAATTGGATCTAAAGCTAAATCCCAGCACAGGTCCTAAAACAAGACCTTTGCAGACATGGAAAAATGTGCTAATTTACCTGTTCTCTTTTAGTAACGGAGAATCCTGATAGGTTGTACTCTTCTACAACCAGAGTCTCCAAAGCTGACATCTTTATGACTTATGGACTTCAATTCCCAGAATTCCTCAGCCAGCGTGTTGAAGTCTACAAGTTTTAAATTTGCCAAGTTTGGAGACCCCTTGCTCTACAACAAAACAATGTATTATTTCTATTTGTCTAATTTCCCAATTTATACTTTATTGTGCCCTAATAATCACCATTACTAGTGTGTCAGAATTCTAACCAAGAGAATGTTACATTTTAAGTGCAGATGCTAAAAACAATATAGATTTAGAAGAATTAAAATTGACTGGAGGGGTATGTCAATGAAGCTGCTGCTCCCCTCGGTTTCCCTCCTCCTGCTCCCATCTTACACACATAAGTTCACACATACCACTTGTACACCATTCAGGAATTGCACCACAAACATTTGATGAAATGAATATGCAAGTTTATTTTATAAACGTATTAGTGTTACGGGTGGTTACTTTTGCTGCAAACACTAGACATCTCTAATAACCATGCTGTTTTCAAACATTACCTTAACTTCACAGTAGAAATATATTATTACTTACATAGATTGTCTAAACTCCACTGAGCACAGAATCCAACTTGGCGTTTTAAATAGTCTGGATTATTTGTCCATTTCTCTAACAAAACCAGCTGATCACTGATGCAGGTATCAGAAACTGTCATTTTATTCTCACCTGGAGTTGGAATGTGTTCACAATTATGAAAAGAAAATCGTAATCATTAAAAACACAGCATTTCCAAGAAGAAAAAAGGCTTTTGTGCTTTCCCCCACTTTCCCTATATTCCCCATTCTCATACTATATAAATTCCACCATAATCCATTAAAGTTTCAGCAGCTAGTAGCTGCTGGCAGAGAGACCGGGCCAGAGGCCAAGAAAACAACTCCAGCTGCAAGTCATCATCAGGAGCTGAATTCAGCTCAGGGGCATCTTGATTTTACTGCCCATTTCTTCTTTAGGATATGCAAATGTTTGACCAGTGCAGGTCCAGCCAGAGGCACATTGGTTCTGCCCCGTTTCTTGGTAACGAATTTAGTCCCTTGCAGTTTTGAAAATTTGGGGAAGAAGTCCTCAACAGCTCCAGCAAGGTCCTAATGGATGATGGAATTTGTCATGATTTTCCACCCCTGAAGGCCACATCTAGAGGTGGCTGAGGATTCAAAGCTTATGCTCTCAATTTGACAAGCTTTCCTGCCTTCTCCACTGCCATCTCCAGTGGTGTCAAAAAAAACAGCAGGAAGGAGATCTTGGCACCCACACAAATTGCTACCTGCTGGTTATTTGCTTAGAACACTGATGCTACCACCACTCTTGACCATAGCCAGGTAAGATTTTAGAAGAAAGGAATAAATTCCAACCCCTGAAGACTTTCTATTACTATTGTTGTTGTTGTTTTATTGTACGTTTTTCTTCATTTACATCACAATTTCAACTTTGCAACAATATACTGGTTTTATCAGCACTTTTTAAATTATACATAAGATTGTATGTCCTAACTACATCTATTTTTCTCTTATTCATACAATATGGTAAACAACAAAAAATAAATAAAAAGGAAAAAAAATAGGAACTTCCATATTATAAGACATACTTACAGTATATCTATTGTTTCCATGGTTTTATCATAGTTCTCTATTCATTTATCATTCTATTTATTTTGATTTACACTTTGGCATATTCTGATAGTAATATTGCTTACGCTACATATTCTTCTACATAACTTTATACCTGCATTTATTTCTGGCTTGTTAATCATCTTTCATCATTGGTTTTCTAATCTTTGCATCCATTATCTAGACTTTCAAAAAGGCAGATGAGGCCTGGTTCTTTCCCCAGGCCTTTGTGTCAGGGTGAGCAGACCAGACCTCCGAAATGGTTTGCCATTGCCTCCTTCCTAGGGCAAGAGAGACTGGCTGGCTCAAGGTCACCCAGCTGAGCTTTAATTTTAGTGGTTTTTAATGGTACATTTTTGTGTGTGTTGTTTATTTGTATGCTAGCCTGTAAATGCTCAAAATACTGTAAATACCGCACATAACAACCCATCCTGTTTTGTTCTTAACTCTGCATTTCAAATGAGTACACTTACTTGTTTGTGCAAACTTCTCCAGGGCTATTAGTGCAAAAAGCATGACCGTCGGATGGGATTGGAACTCCTAAGATAAAGAAGGGAAATTATTGCATTCAATATTCCCCAAAGTTGTCTTCAAAATCAAGTGTTGATTTTTTTCCAACACAGGGGAAAAAAAGCTTGTGAGGGTAAGAAAAATTACTCTTTAAGCACAATTTAAAAAAAAAAACAGCCTGAAGACAAGGCTTACTTCAGAGAGCCAGGCATCAATACAAACTGCTTTCCGACAGAAAAGGAAAATAAGATAACTATTCTAGTTTAGCAAGCGAAAAAGCCAGAGGTTCCAGGAACAGGATCACCCTCTCCTCTTCCCCAGTCAAAAAAGGTTCCTCATCTTCCAAACCATAGTTTCGGTGGCAGAGGTAAGTTACACCAGAGGTCCCCAACCTTTCTGGCTTGGTGGCCTGACTGGGGGGGAGAGGAGAGAAAGGATGGTTCTTTGTCACTGGTAAGAGTGTGCATGAGCGCACATAGCTCAATTTGTGCTCCCACAAATGGAGCTTTGTGTGCAAGGGCAAACACCCAAGCCTCGTGCAAGTAAAGCTGTGCATGCACACTCTTGCCCATTGGTTCCGAAGGGGGAAGGTTCTGTGCGAGTACCCACCATTCATGCAAGTGGAGCTGCGCATGTGCACACAAGCTCGCTCGCTGCTCACAGGACCCACTTCCAAACGGGCTGCAACCCCAGATTTGGGGACCCCCGAGTTACACCAACCCATCTGCAGCCTTCAGCCTCTCTTCCAGAATGTGAGAATGACCTCAAACCTTCTTTACTCCAATTCAGATACATTTATTTCTTTGGGGGAAGGTTTAAAGATTAAATGGGGGCCTTAAAAGGTTTTGATTCCAGGCCCACCTACCCTGGTATCACAAGCCACATTTTCTGCAGCCTCCAGATAAAGCTGAGGGAGAGGCCTTTCTCCTTTTAAGAGTCCCTTCTGAAGCTTTAGTGTGACTAATGCCAAGATTCCCACGCCCCATGGAAATTATACCGCTAAAATGAAGAAACGTAGGCATGGATTTTACGTAATATAACAGTGCCTTTAATACTAAAAGTAAAAAGGCAGCTGCTCCTTAAGCCAGAATCCTTATATTGCCATGCTATACACGACTCTGGGTAATTGATCTACAATTTTAAAAAAGCATACAGTAGATGCACAAGTATTTTTAGTAGCACATAAGTAATTTGCAGCTACTTTCCTTTAAGTTTTCAAGTACATGTTGCCTGACTGCCTTGAAAAGTGAAAAGGTTGTTAAATTTAAACGTTGCTGATGTTTCTGTATTTTTCCACAGCTGAAATTGGAGTGATTCACAATTTTTATTTATAATTACACATAAAAATTCATCAAAAGCAAAAATAGGGTTGTGGATCAAGCGAGCATGACGTTTGTGTTTTGCCCAAGAAAATATGTTAGTAGTTATGTGATTGTTTCACTAAATGATAACATTCAAAATGTCCTATACAGCTGGACTGCTAGTCCATCCATCTAGCAAAAATATTATTAACTGCATTAGTAGCAGCTTTTGAAAAGTTTGACGGTAACCATGTAGAGCGTGGCCCAAAAGGATGGCGGTGTCTTAAGCAAACATGCTTTAAAAAAAAGCAAACATGCTAACTTCTGAACTGTAGCTCTTCTCTTCTTCTTTGCCAAAACCTGTCAACCTTCACTGGGCCACTGAAAAATAATTGCAATGGCTAGACACATTATGCTGCGGCTTCCTTTTTTTTAGTGACACAAGACTAAATGAGATCAGAGCATAGAAATCCCTTCAAATGTTTACACACAATACTTAGCATACTGATTTATTTTGGTACTCACCAAGCTCTGCAGTAAGTACTCCAAGATTCCTTGGCTGAGTAAACCTACACTTGCAGGGCCTGTAAAAACACTAAAAATGAAACACGTGCATCGAAGGTGCTGTTTTACATTGTTTAAGAAGTCTCTTCAGAAAAGTTTAGGATCCTGCACTGCTTTTTCCAGTTCTCTTGTTTTACAGAAGGAAGAAGCATTCAGCAAAGAAGACATAGCTGCAGAAATATTTACTAAGTCGTCCCCCCTCTCCCCGTCCCCCCCCCCGCTCTCTCTACCAGACAGGAATACAAGCAACACATAAAGTGATTTACATAATCTGACACCTCCAGTCTAGTTTGTCCTTCTAAAAAGGTTGGTTAAATTCAGTAGTCACATTTTGTTTCCCACCTTCCTTCTGACAAAACAAATTCTAGACTTGCCCTCTGTAGATATTGCCATATAAGGGGGAGACAAAGGAAGAACAGGGATCTACTCCCACCATTCATAAACCACTGTACTGCATTCTGGCAAATGGAACCAGGGATTACAAATTAATTTAAAGAGATTAAAACACTGTCATGTGTTTTTGAGCATCTAAAGGATGCTCTATGAGCAGATATCTAATTATAGACAATATATTTATTACAGATTAGGAGAGGGTGAAGCTGTAAAACCTAGAAACAACAGTGGTGTGTGGAGAAGTCCTAAAGAACTGAACTGTCACTTCCCTAGAGAGACATAAAGACATCCCAGAATCCTTACCTGCAAGCTTTTCTGCCAAACAGCCCAGGACTGCAGTGGTATTCCGGTGTTTGGCAGGATGGCAGGCATCCTGGAGAGCCACTGCTCCATTTAAATTTAATATTTCTGTCAATTTCTGCAATGCATCCTACACAGGAAAAGGACCAGGCTGTTGAATGTCAAATCGCCAAAAGAAACATTCCATTCCATTCATATCTTAATACCGTATAAGGTAACTTATCTATACTGATACAGGCACAAACTGAATTTGAAATAACCATTGATCCTAACAAGTAAGCACTGAAATTGCACCAACAAAATTTATAAAATAAAATAAAAATAATTAAGAAATAAAGGAGTGAATTAAAAACAAAACAACAAAAATCCTGAAAGGGCAGATTCAATGGGCCATCCATTTTTTGCCACCCATTTTCTATGTTTCTATGAAACAACAAAATCAATTTTTTTCTTTTGGAGATACTTTACTTAAGATGACTTTTCAAAATGGACGATAAGACATCAAACAGTGATGGCTCACAACATTTAACTAAAAGCCACAAGATTGAAGGAAGCTGAGAAACACTGTTAAACACGTGAAAACTAAAAGCCATATTTTCCCCAATTGTGCTTCAAGCAAACATAATTAATTTGCATTGTAAAACAAATATACTTAAGTTTTACATCTGAAAATCACAACTAAGAAAACACGCAAACCATTCTGGATGATGTATTGTGGATTGAAGCAAAAGACCAGCAATTTGGAGAAAATTGATATACACAACACAATTGCATTATAAGCAGTTAGTAAATGTAACCATTTTGAAGCTGCTTCAAGCTTCTACTGTTTTGGTTTATATTGTTATATTTATTGACACCGTTTGTGAAATTACATGTACAAATACAGCATTAGGAATCACATACTAAATCCTAATTACCTAAGATTTAGTTAGCTTTTTAAAAGGTATTCTATTTTTTTCAGAGCAGATAACTTTTTAGAGCATTTTATAATAGAATTATCAGCTTTTCAAAGAAAAAAAAAACAAAATTGGAAGCAGTGCTTAGATTCCTATTATTGTCCTGCAAATACTTTCGATATTTAGATAGAAT